TATACATTTTCTCTTTAAATTTCACATTCAAAAAAGAAATGCATGGAAAAATTGAATTTTTATTTTCTGTAGAAACAAAAAATATTGCATAAATTTAGGATGAATGAATTTTGTTTCTGGCAACATTGTTGTCGCTTTTCTATTCTTTTTGTTTGCTATATATATTTTGTATAGAAGTATGGAAAGTGTCTATTAATGCCCACAAGCGAGAATTTAATGAGATGATTTTTTTTTTTGTTTTTGCTCTTTATTTTTTGTTATTTTTAATATATTTTATTATTTTGTTTTCGTTATTACCACTATATTTTATACCTGTCTCACCTTGTATATTAAAAATGAAAAATAATTTTAAATAAATAAATAAAATGAAAATTAAAAAGAACACGAGAAAATATTTAAAATGAATAAAATACATACAATTGCATATACACATACAATTCAACGTACATAAATGTAGGTGCAGGAGGCGGTAAAAGCCTGGAAGTATTAAAAATAATGAAATATTTACATACAAATATTTAAAAAGCCCCCATTGTTTAGGATCACTACTAACAATAAATTTTAAATTTTTTTTCTTTTTTGTTAATAATAATTTTGGGTCAAAAGTATGTTCAATGTTTTTAGAACATTACACTCTTCTAAATTTTGTTATATAAAAATATTAATAATATTCGTTCATTTATTAAAGTTTTAAGTGTTATACATATAAATGACTTCAAATAATGTTACTATAAGAAAAATTGTAAAAACTATGGGTATCAATTATTGTACATAATTATATTAAGCTAAACTACAAAATCAAGAGTTTGTATGTTACACACAAAATGTTAAATCATATTGCTTACATGTATTAAAAATCTAAAACTTTAAAATGAGAGCAAAATGCTTCAATTTATAATAACAGTTTTAAATGTATAGTAGGCTGAGAAAATTTTAAACAGTCATGTCTAATGTTTAAAATTGATGAGCCAAAGGTTTAATTTATATTTATATACATGATATTTGCTAAAATTTAATTAAAGTACGAATGCCTTTAATCATTTTAATTTCTAAACCAGGTCATCTCAAAATAAAAGTATGTTAAAGAAATCTTATTGTTTTTTACACAGAATATGTGAAATTGTTTTTTACATAGAATATATGAAGATTGCAATTTGTTATTACCAATCTACGCTAGCTGGAAAAATTTTTCCAGCACATACATAATGTAAACAATATCTATATCAGACCATTCAAATAAAAAGAAAATATAGCTTAAAATAAAGGTCTAAATAATTCCAATGACATATTGGACGATTTCCATAGCAGATTTTGTGCGGAAATGAGGAGAATCCAGCACACCTTCTGTGAGAGTGCAGAGCTCTTGTCAGCAAAAGAATAGGAACGAAATTATATATTCCTTGGATTGAAGTTTCGATCACTCGTTCCCTAAAAATTGATTGAATTCATTAGAGTTATGGGTTTCGAGGAGGGGTTGTAGGGTAAGCCTAGCAAGTAAACAAGGAGTACAATAGATCCGTGGGACTCGCGTTGCAACTGCACTACGATACACAATCTACAATTTACAATTCGAAAATAAGAAAGAATACTTATGTGCTTGATTTCAACTCTACTGGCCCGCATATTACTCCCGTGCGATTATTTACGTTTTGTTTTTAACCAAAATTAACTAAAAGTATTACCATCTTATTACTTCAGCACTTGTGCTTTTTATAACAAATTGTGTTCATTTTGCTCACAATAATTAATGACTGTCCTCGTTTTAGTAGCATTATTGCCATTTGATATGCACACTATAGAAATATGTGTGATTTGCGTGATTTTAAGACCTAAAAATTTTTAAAAGTTACATTTAAATTTTTATTTACTCTCTTGTAAATTCTCTCAATTAATAATAATATTTTGAAAATTTTTACAATATTTTTATTATTAATTTTTTTTTTGTATTTTCTTTCCCTCATTTAATTGAAATTTGGGAAGTGCACATCGACTGAAAACATATTTTTATTACAAAAACAAACAATTTATATTCAACTAGTAAAAAATAGTAAGAAGAAAGAAAAACTAAATTCAATTTTTTTCTATATAAAATTTTTATTAAAATTTTTATTCTTGAAAATCATGGTGATGATGGCCACATTAAAATATTTAATCAAATTGCATTTTGACATTATTATAATTGATTGCATTTTTAATACCAATTTAATAAGCTAATAATTTACTTAACCTTAAATTTCATGAAATTAAAATTAAAATTAAAAAAAATACAAAAAGAAATATAACAAAAATTGGAAAAAGAATTTTTTTTTCATAACATTTTTTTAAAGGGTTATCGAAGGCGTCATCACAACTCTTATTCAATATTAATTGATGTAAACATACTCTGTGTAAACAAATATACATATATGTACATATGTGATATTATAGGCAGTCACCTATTGAAAATGTCCTATTAAAATTATAAAATCAAAAATTTCTTATGAGTTGCCAGATATTCGAAACAACGGTTTTGTATTTAATGATAGATTTTCAATAACGATGAAGTCGATTACATATTTTAAAATTTCTGTCAATTGAAATTTTCAAATAACAAAAGGATATTGATCACAATTGTATATAAAGTGAGCTCTGTAGGAAGCCTAAAAGTTGCAAATTTCTAAGTGTTCAATTCAAAAGAAAATTATAATTTGCATACCGAAAATTTTACTTTATTGTCCAATTATACCCGAACATTCGAAATAATGGTCTGAGGTATAGACAAAAGCGTACGTTTTTGATCAGCGTCAAATTCGGTGTCGATTTAACCATGTCTGTCCAGAAATATTTAAATTAGATTTGATTAAAACAATTGTTCAGATAGCTGTCCTACAACTTCAAAAATTTTTTGAAATTATAGAGATGTGTTAGATGTGATAAAATTCATTCAAATTCCTTGATTACTTGTAGTAGGTGACGTACAAATTCAATAATTGTATCAATCATGTCTCAGAAACTAATGAAATTGCAATACTGAAAATTATTGTTAGTTAAATCATAGTTAAATTGCAGATTAATTAATCATAATTAATTACAGAATATTTCTTCACCCATACGGTAATAAGTTTGTACGAGTATCACAGAGCTGACCAGATCAAATTTATTTTTTCACGTTTTCTATTATAATACTTCTAGACATTGAATTTTCTTTTAGCATTATGTATAAGAACTATTTAAACTAAATGTTTCAAAATGATGTGTTGCCTATGTATAGGATTTATGGAGATCATATTTTAAATATTATTTGATTAGTGGATACAATTTGTATGTTGTAATGCAGAAATTCTTAGCAGTTAGCACTTAAACTTCGTAACCTTCTCTATGATTCTTTATATTAGCAACAAATTCACAACATACTCGTAACATAGGCATGCCTTTAAATTAACAATCTGGCATCTTAAAAATTTGAGTTCATGGTATAACATTTTTTTTATACCTTTATTATTATGATGATTGCGTTCATAAAATAATTACCTTGAAAAAATAAAAAGCAAAAAATATATATATATATATATTTTCTTTTTTATTTTTAATAAAAGTTAAGTAAATATTGCCCAACCAGCTAACATGGTCATAAAACAATCCCAAACTCATAAGACCAATTTACTTCATTTTAAAAATATTTATATAGGATATTATGTACACATATACATACTAGAATACTTAATATGTACAGTGATATATGTATACAAATATGTATAAGATATAAAATCTACTTTAATTTTAACCGGAAAAAACAGGACATGAAAAATTAAATATTGAAAATATTGTTTAACAAAAAAAAAATAACAGTAGCACGACATTATTACGACAACATTATCATTAAGGATCACACTGTAATTAATGGTTATTTTTTTTTTTTTCATTTTTTTTCTTGTTATATATTTTTAAATAATTTTCTGAAGTAATTCATTAACATTAACACTCATCATTAAGAGAGGGCATATTAAAATACAATACAACTAATTATAACATACAAAAATATGTACATATATGTATGTATATAGTGTGTGAGCTTAATTGTGTTGTAATGTTCGAATTGAAAACTATATGGAATTATTCATTGTACATAAGCTAATATACAGCGCAGAAAATATTTTTTTTATTTTAGTAAAATTGAACAGAATAATAATTTAAAAGGTTAAATGTTAAATAATAAAATCTGTTATGTAATAATTTCGTAATTATACTGTTTTATATAGACCACACATTTGAATGACATTTTAAATGTGATCCTCCATTAGTGACATGAAATGAATATAAATTTATTATCTTAAATTGTTAGAATACTGGAGCGTCAAAAGCTTAAAAATTTAAAGTATTTATTGTGTAATATGAATTGCTATTTAGAGAAAATATTGAAAGAAATTGGAGCAATCTCCAATAACATGTCACATTCCGCAGTAAGATATTTAATTAAAACATATTTTATATGTTTTTCGACACCTGAAACCCTAGAATTGATCTGATCAACTGTACATTCCTTCACATTTTTCTTTCACAGTTGGAAAATGTTGCAATAAGACAGTTGGTATTCAAAATTAATACACGAATTATCAAAGCAGAATTATTCACACTTAATTTTTCAAGGTAGGTTTATTTGTTTTCCCCCTATATTTTAATAGACATTAAACCCTAAATAAACGCCTTAATTTTCAGATTTAAATAAATTTCTTAATTTTGTTTTATACATTCAACTAAATTTAGAGAATATTCCCCTCCTATATAATAAATGATTACAGTTAAATTTTATACAAATTAATTCCAAGAATTAATTCAAACACACAAAAAGAGAAATGAAGTCTTCACTTAATTAACACATAATACAATTAAGCAAAGTATAAGTATAGATAGACATATTTTGTTAACTATATACACTTACTATAATTAGTACTAAAAAACATAATCATTATTAATATATTAAATATACATAAAGGTATATTTAATAAGACTTATATACTTACTTGCATTTAATGGTATTATTGTATTTTGCATATGACTAAATATTTGTCTTGATAATATTGGATGATGTGAACCGACACTACCAACAACACCATGTGAACTACCACCATTTAAATGATGTGAATGATGTAAATGTGAATGATGATGTGAATGTATTGCATGTTGCATTGCATGCTGTGCTTGTTGTAATTGATGATGTTGATGATGATGTGATAAATGATGTGGATGTAAAGGATGTTGCTGTTGTTGGTGTTGTTGTTGTTGCTGTTGTTGATGCGAAGATGGATGATGTTGTTGTTGTTGTAAATGTAAATGTTGTTGTTGGTGTTGTTGTAGTTGTTGTTGCTGCTGTTGTTGTTGCTGTTGTTGTTGTTGACGATTTGCAACAGCGGCTGCAGCAACTGCTGCTGCTGCCATCATATGATGATGACTATTATGATTTAATTGATTTGTGGTCGTTGTACCATTATGTAGATTTGAAGCAACTGCTGCTGCAGCTGTTAAACCATGTAATGCTGAATTATTATGCGGTGGATATATTAAACTATTATTATTTGTATTTGCAGCTACAGCAGCTGCTGCTACTGCAGCTGCAGCTGCATGATGATACATTGAACTTGATAGACGACTACTTTGATGGGCTAAACTGGGAGTTGTTGAGGAAGCTGAAGGCGGTGGTAAAGGTCGATATCCCGCCATTTTATAGGCGAGTTGTATATATTATTTTGTTTCTTTTAATTATTAATATATTTCTGTTATGAAAAAGTAGTTTTTTTATTTTAAATTTTTTTTTATTATAATTTTGTTTTTAATATTTCACACTTTTGTTTTTCTTGTATTTTAGTTATTTAATTCAATTTTGATGTTGAATGTTTTAAAAAACTGATTATATTGTATTTTAAATTTTTTATTATATTTCCATTTACTTTGAAACATTTCAGATTTCATTTGTGTTAACTATTTAATTTGAAAATATTTTTAAAGTTAAAATTTACAAGTTCATAGATTTTCAATCTTAATATTTTTTTTTCAAGAGTATCTACTTTTAATTATAACTAAACAGCTACCTAATTAAAACAGAAATAATAGTTATTGTAAATAATATTATGTTACAATATAAAGAATGAATTTAAGAGAAGAAATTTTGTAAATCATGGGAGTTTATTCAAAAAGTATAGTAAATATTTTATAAGAATCTGTGGCAACTATTGTTAATATATTTTTTTGAAATTTGGGCTTAAAAAGACCGTAGTAAGATTAAAAAAAAATTTGCGAAAACTGATATGATTTAATAAATCGACCAAAATATTGTGGGAAAGCAAAGTTCAGTTATTCCGGCTCCCTTCAGGAGAGTCGTTCCCTTGGAAACGCAACGTCAGCAAAATGCAATTTATAAACTAACAGAACAAAAATTATAAAGAATTAAAATATACAAAGATTTTGCAGTGAAATCTCTGTAAATAATATGTATATGCTATAAAATGCAGAGAAATCCTATAAAATATGAAATACTACAAAAACAACTTTAAAAACACAACACATTTTCGTTCTTATCCAATATGATTACAAGTATACAAAAGAAAATATCAGTTTGAAGTATTGAAGTACCACTTAGTCAGAGAATTGCAGAAATTAATTTTGAAAAGCAAATTATGTTAAGAATCCAACATCGTACCCAATTCATTTAATATTATTATAAATTATAGAAATATTCTCTAAATTTTTCAAATTAAAAATAAATTATATTGTACTATTAAAAATTTAATGCCCGCAAAATTTTAATTAATTCAAAAACTCTCACTTATTTTAGTCATAAAAATATTATTATATAATTTTGTCGAAAATTCTATAAGAAATCAATTTTCTAGCATAATAACTAATCAAAACTCAAATTTTAAATAACAAAAAAAATTCAACAATTTCTTTAATTGGAAAAACAAATTGAAAAATTATTTTTTTTAGAATTTTTTCTACTCATACTACTCCCTATAAATATGCAACAATAAAAAGATGAAAAATATAATAAACTATGGTGTATAAATAAACCATTTTTGAAGAGAAGAAGCCAAAACATATTTTCAGTAGCTAATAATAAATATTTTTATAAAATGTTTTATAAACTACTTGTAAATTGTATACTTGTAAAATTGTGTTCTTTTACAATCTATTTAACTTTTATTAAAAATAATTTTAAATAGATTGTAAAAACTAATAAGGGTTATTTTTGCTTTTTAGCACAGCATTTATATGAATTATTTATTTTGAGTAAAAAGGAAAAAAAATATAAACTTTTTATGATTATACATTTACATAAATATATACATATATATGTACACTTAATCATTATTATAAAAAATTCATTTTTATACTTTATTATCTCAATTCTCATATAATAACTATATAGAAATGAAGTGAATATTAATTTTTATTATTTATAAAATGATTTTAATAGGATAACAATTTTTTTTTTTACTCTCATATAAATTTACATGTAGGGAAGTATATAAACATATATATGTAGTAGTGTATATATTTAATAGCTCTTATATTATAATTATTATTATACAATTATTTTTATTTCTCATATACTCTCTCTAAAATATGTTTGTTTGCTTATGTTTAACTATAACCCTTTTCATTTCTTTTACTATTATATAATAACTAAATTTTTTTCTAAAATTTTATAAGTATACAAACATATGTATAATAAAAAACACAATTAAAATGACACACAATGTTATGTATACGTATATATTTATCTACATGTATAACAAATATAACAAAATTTAAGCGAAATTTTTAATTTGTGTTGAAAAATAAAATGCCCTCTATTTTTTTTTTTTTTTAATATAATAAATTTTCAATTTTGTAATATAATAAATTTTGTAAAATAACTATAAAACAGTTTGAAAGTAATTTAACACCATCTATAGGAAAAATAACAATAATAAATTGAAGCTGTAATAACATACTGAAAAGATTTTAAATAGATACATGAAATATAATAGTATGATAAATATCGAGAGTATTGTGCCTCTTCCTCTCTCGTTATAAGTACATGCTACACAATTTAAAATTAAAATTTCAATAAAATTTTGAACAAAAAAGAAAATTCAAATGAAATTTTTTGAAAATATTAAAAATAATCACAAAATTATTATAAAGTATTTTATAGTAAATTTTTATCAAATAAAAATTTTTATAATTATTTGTTTAGCCTACCAAAGGGCAGAAATATTCTTATAATTTAACACAAAATAAAATTACGCTGGCAACTATGAGCCCTCTAGTATCAAAATTTTTAAATATTTATTTACCTATATATTTAATGAAAATATAATATAACAATATTTTAACGAATTATTTCACAAACAACAGACGATTGCCTTAAAGATTATAAAAAATATTTGGACAATTATAAAATTTTTTTCAATGTTCAATGAAAACTCTTTAGATTGGACTATAACTTTAAGGTTTTGTTTTAATACAATCTGATTATTCAATTATATAAAAAATTAATAATATAGCTACAAGGAATTTGAAAATAAAATTAGAATGCGTAGAATTTAACACCAAATCATTATACTATATTAAATATTCTAAAATAAGTAGAAGCTATACGTATACGAAGGAGTAGTTGAGAGGAGCTTTTGTAACAAACATTTATTCAAAATGGATGATTTTGAAGTTTTTATATGAAAAATAAAAATTAAATCCTTAATATTAACATTATTTTATAGGTTAGTTTTTACTGTTATATAATATAACAGAATTTCCATTCAAAACAGCATACAATTTATATTTTCGTACAAAATATTTTCGACTCTTCCGGAGTAATTTGCAGTTAAATAACATTTATATGTTAAAATTTAAAACACATGTACGATTGTAATAAAAATTTTACTATTCATTCATTGTCATTATAACTATTTAGATATATATATATATAATCGTAGTAATATAGCCGTTACTATTTGGCATAATGTAACTAGTATGTCTGTTGATCCTTTTTTAGAATATCTTTTTTTTTTCTGTTTTTTTTTATTACTATCACAGCTATATGCACAAATATTTTATTAATAATTTTAAATAAATTATTATTATTTTTTTTGTGTTTATTTTCATAATCATAAATTATGAGATGAACTAGATTCAATATGGTTACAATGGGTTCGAAGTAAGTAGTTTAATAATTTGTTTATATTTTTGTGGTGTTGTGCTTATTGTGTTTTCTTTTGTGAAAAAAAAAAATTTTTTTTTGTTATTTTTTGTGTAAATAGGCTGATACTAGCAACATTTTGCCATTTTATACTGTTATGATGTTACTGTTATTATTATTCTTTTTTTTTTTAGACCATATATTGTTTTTTTAGTTTACACGCATATATCGTGTGTGTATGTAGATACAAAATGTGTGTATTACATAAACAATCTATTTTTGAGATTTTTATCAAAATTTTGATAAATATGAAAATTTTTGACATTAAAACTTCAATAAAAAAAAATTTTTTTTTTAATGTATTTTTATTTTAAAGAGGAAAAATTATGAGAGAAAATTTTATAAATTTTTATTTTTACAAGGATTTTTATAAATATAATAAAATTACATATATTTAATAATAATTGGGGAGTTAGGGATTAGGATTGGAAAATTTTAGGTTTTTATTGGAAAATATTTACTAATATACAAATGCATTTAATAAAATTTTGGTATCAATTTGGAAAAAAATTTTTTAACATTTTTTTTTATAGTTTAAGACCTTTTTCAACTTCTTTTAAAATTTTTTGCCTTTTTGCATTTATTTCAGCATTTTTTGCCTATTTCGCCAACTATTTTGTCATTCTTCGCCTATTTTCATAATAATTTCACCCCAAATTTAAAAACGTTCCTATACTTTTTCAAAAGGCTCTACACTGAAATTTTAAATCTTAATTTAAAGCACCCAGGAGACTTCTTTTCTCATTCATACATGCTCAGGCTCAGAGATTATTGAAGATATCGTTAACAAAATAAGCAACCTGAATAGGTGACATGCAATTTCAATTGAAATTAAAAATTAATATTAAATATTACAAATATTATTGCTGATAATAAATAGCACTCTCTCAAAATTTATATACAAATACTGAAATAAATAGCATTTAAATTAAATTTCAGCTAAAACATTGAAAGATCATTTTCAATATTAATAATTTATTTAAGATTTAATCGACAAAACTACGTTTAAAAAATTGTCGTAATCATTGAAATTTGTGTAATATTCAAAAAAAATTGTACAATCAAAATTTATTTTGATTACATAATTTTTTTTTTAAATAACATACATTAAATTTTACAATTTCTTACATGTGATACGTTTTGGTTTTATTAGGTCTAAATTTTCAATTTTGTTTGTTATTTTTGTGTAATATTTTCCTTTATTGTGTCTGATTAAATTTTTTTTGTTTTTCCAGCAATATTTATTTAAATTTTGTTATTTTATATGCAATTTTATGAATTTCTTGATTAATAATTTTTACAGTTTCTTAAAGAAGTTTTTTCAAGAACCTTTTTTCCTGTTTTAAACGATCTATTTATGTGCTTATTTTTTAGCACCTAAAAATCCGTTCCCTAACAATAATAAATATAATAAATAACTTTCAAATAAGTGAACATTAAAATAGAAAAAAAAATAAAGAGAAAATTATCTAATCTAATTGCTAATAAATCTTCTCTTTTGTTTGTAAAATATTTTTTTTTTTTTTGAAAAAAAGTGCATTTATGTATAAAAGATCTCTAAAACTATATAAAAGAAAAAATCAGAAAAATAAAATAACTTTTAAATATGTATACATTTAAATACACACATAAACATAG